CCACAATCAAGATGATAGAACAGCTGCATTACTTCAAAAATTCCTTCCCATCCTGAAGTTATTCCCAACCCCATCCCTAGCCCTTGGCAACCACTGATGTGTTTTATGTCCCTATAATTCTGCCTTTTTAGAATATCATATAAATAAAGTTATACAGGATGTAGACTTTTGAGTTTGGCATATTCCACGTAGCATAATGTAGTTGATTCATCCATGTGTCAGTAGTTCTTATTTATTACTCAATAGTATTACATTGTATGAGTTTACCAGTTTATCTGTTCATCAGATGAAGGACATTTGGGTTGTTTCTAGTTTTTGGTGATTATAAGGAAAGCCTTTATAAGCATTCCTATATGGGATTTTGCATAAACATTAGTTTTATTTGTCTTGGTAAATACCTAGGAATGGGATTGCTGAGTTTTGTAGTAAATGTATGTTTAACTTTATAAGATACTACCAAACTGTTTTCCAAAATGGTTGTACCATTTCGTATTCATGTCAGCAATTTATGAAAGTTCTAATTGTTTAACATTCTCACCAGCACCTGACATTGTCAGTTTTTTGTTTTCATTTTTATTTTAGCCATTCTAATAGGTATATAGTGGTATTTAATTTTTATTTGTGGTTTTAAATTTCATTTTCCTAATAACTGAAGATGTTGATAGGCTTTTCATATGCTAATTTGCCATCTGTAGATCTTTAGTGAAGTATTTTTTAAACCTTCGCCCATTAAAAATACATTTACATTAATTTTTTGTTTCATTTATGTTAATGGAAATACAGTATCATTGAAGGTTTAAAATTAGCAAAACCATGTCTGTACCACAATAACATGAATATATTTTTACGTATTCTCAGCCATTCATTTGTATGAGTGTTCTCTTACATAACTGCATTTTTGAGTTTTACTGAGGTATAATTGATATACAAAAAATTGCCAGTTTAAAATGTATAATTTGACAAGTTTTGACATATACATCCAAGAAACCATCAACACAGTCCAGACAATTAACATATCCATTATCTATAAAAGTTTTCTTGTGCCCCTTTCTAACCCCACCTTGTGTTACCTTCTGCTTCCTGTCCCCAGACAACCACTGATCTGATTTCTGACACTGGAGATCGGTTTTCATTTTTTAGAATTTTATATAGATGGAAGCATATAGCATGTGTTCTTGTTTTTTTCTGGGTTCTTTAGTCGGCATAATTATTTTGAGATTTATCTCTGCTTTTGTGTGTACCAATAGTTTATCCCTTTTTATTGCTGAGTAATATTCCATTACATGGATATACATTAATTTGTTTATCCATTCACCTGTTCGTAGATATTTGTGTTCATTCTAGTTTTGGGCTATTACAGATAAGTTATTAACATTCATATGTGAGTCTTAGTATGGGCATATGCTTTAATTTCTGTTGAGTAAATATCTAGAAGTAGAATGGTTAGGTCAACTTGTAAGTGTACATTTAACTTTTAAGACACTGCCAAAGTGGTGGTACCATTTTTTTATTCGCACCTGCAGTGTCAAGAGTTCACTCATGCTAATCCTTTGTAGTCACACTCTTAGTCCATTTAGTGTTGCTGTTAAGAGAATACTCGAGGCTAGGTAATTTTGAGAGAAATTTGGCTAAGTTCTGTACGTGGAATGTCCAAGATCATGCAGCCCATCGGTGAGGGTCTTGTGCTGCTTGAACTCATGGCCGAAAGCAGAAGAGGAAGAGGGTACATACAAAGAGACATGTAGAAGAGGCTGGGCTAGCTTATAAAAGTGCATTGCTCTTGTGGGAACTAATCCATTTCTGCAAGAGTGAAAACTCTCACCCCTGAAAGATGGCATTAATCTATCTATGAGGGCTGTGCCCCCATCATGCATACATCTCTCACTAGGCTCCATTTCCCAACACTGCTGTACTGGGAATCAAATTTCAACATGAGTTTTGGCAGGGACAAACCACATCCACACCATAGCACATGCTCTCTCCTTTCCTAATCCCAGTAACCACTGATTTGTTCTGTCATAGTTTTGTCTTTTTGAGAACATCACATACACAGAATCATACCATGTGTAACCTTTTAAAACCAGCTTCTTCCATTCAGCATTGTACCTCTGAGATTTATTGCATCTATAAGCAGTTCCTTTTTATTTCTGACTAGTATTCCAGATCATGGATGTACCCATTGTCCGTGTACCCATTGAAGGACATTTGGGTTGCTTTCAGTTATTGGTTATTATGAATAAAGCTGCAGAAACATTCATGTATGGGTTTTGTGTGAACATAAGTTTTTATTTCCCATGAGTATATAATCAGGAGTGCAAGTGTTGGATCACAGCAGCTCCAGCTTACTCTGTAAAATGATTGTAAAAATACCTACCTAGTCTCACAAGATATTTTTGCTATTCAAGAGAGACAGATGGGATAATGTAGCATTTAAGAGAATGGGATTTAATGTGAAAGTCAATTTGAGTTCATTTTTAGAGACCTTTTACATGGTTCTTTGATTTTTAAAAAAATTAATTTGTAGTTTTCAGCTTAGAGGTCATGCATGTATTTTGGTACCTTTATTCTGAAGTATATTATGTTGTGTTATTATAAATGATG